TGGTGGTGGTGTTTGTTTGTTTGTTTTTAACTACTTGACAAAAACAGATTTTTGTTCACTCCTAAAGGTGAACCCTCCTGGACAGCCTCTTCACAAAGAGCCCTTTACAAGAGAGCTATTAGAGTTCTTTATTCACGTTTTGTTATTTTTTGTTAATTTTAATCTTAACATATAAAGTGGTTATGTAGCTAGAATTTTTATTTTCCTTAAAGGGCAAACAAGAAAAACAATTTAACTAGTAGAACCAATTTGACTAGTAGAACCAAAAACTAGTAGAATTCTGCACGTGAAACTTTTCTTTAAAAGTGTAAGAATAAGAAATAAACATAGCACATTTGTTTGTTTTCCATCTGGGTAATCAGTTAAATACTTTGGTAATTTTCCCGCATATTTGTTGCACAGCTAATCTAGACCATGTTGAGGCTTGGTGAGTTTTTGCCTGTTGATGGTAAATAGGAAAACAGTGTGTTTGAGACTTTCCAACTTACATTTAATTTCATGGACAATTTCTCTTTGTCAGATGCTGAATCCCCAACCAGAGAAGACCTTTATACGAAATAAAGCAGCCCAAGTCTTCGCCTTGCTTTTTGTTACAGAATATCTCACTAGGTGGCCCAAGTTTTTTTTTGACATTCTCTCAGTAGTGGACCTAAATCCAAGGGGAATAGATCTGTACCTCCGAATCCTCATGGCCATTGATTCAGAGTTGGTGGATCGTGATGTGGTGCATACATCAGAGGCAAGTAACTTCCCATTAATTGTTAGTTTTTAATGTAGATTTTGTAGGAGATGATGGGCACATAATAAAAAGAGTAGGAAGTCTTTCTTTGGAGACAGATTTTCTGTTCTTTCTGGCTTTTTTTTAAGTTTATTTTTTTTTAATAATTTCTATACCCAGCATGAGGCTCTTACAACCCCAAGATCAAGAGTCGCATGCTCTTCCAACTGAGCCAGCCAGGCACCCTCAAATTTTCTTAGTAATTCTAAGTTCAGGGGCACCTGGGAGGCTCAGTCGATTAAGCATCTGCCTTCGGCTCAGGTCATGATCCCAGGGTCCTGGGATTGAGCCCTGTGTCTCGCTTTCTGCTCAGCGGGGAGCCTGCTGCTTCCTCTGCCTGCGGCTCTGCCTTGCTTGTGCATGCTCTCTCTCTGTCAAGTAAAATCTTAAAAAAAGAAAGAATTCTAAATTCACCTAACTTACCTTTTTTTTTTTTAAGCAGGCTCCACACCCATTGTGAGGCTTGAACTCATGACCCTGAGATCAAGAGTCACATGTTCTACCAACTGAGCCAGCCACACGCCTCTAAATTCACTCAACATTTTGAATTTTGTTCTACAAAGGAGCTTGAACTGGGCTTCTTTTTCCCCAAGTGTATGTTGAAATTAGAGTGTTACTTTAGATTTTTTTTTAACTATGAAAGCACTTTCTCCAATAAAATACCCAAAGTGGTTCTGTTTTATGAATTTCTGGAGAAATGTGGTCTGTATTTACTACTGCTACATAGTTCCTGAGTGAGCAGGAATCATTGCTTATGAATCTGCTAGTTTCTTCTGTATTCTCAGTCATAAAGCCCATCACCTTAGTCTTTCTCTATTCATTATCCGATGTAACTTTCTCTGTATTCTTAACACAATAGAAGTTGCTTGATTTGAAAAAGAAAAAAGAAAAGATAAAAAAAGAAATTGCTTGATTCAAATGTGTATAATAATTTAAGGTCATTATATGTCAGACATACTTATTACTTTAAAGGTTATTATCATGCATTTAAATTATTACCATTCCCGGGGTGCCTGCCTGGCTTGTTGGTTAAGCGTTGAACTCTTTTTTTTTTTTTTTTTTTTTGAAGATTTTATTTATTTATTTATTCGAGAGAGAGAGAGAGAGAAACAGCATGAGAGGGGAGAGGGTCAGAGGGAGAAGCAGGCTCCCCGCCGAGCCGGGAGCCCGATGTGGGACTCGATCCCAGGACGCCGGGACCATGACCTGAGCCGAAGGCAGTCGCTTAACCAACTGAGCCACCCAGGTGCCCTAAGCGTTGAACTCTTGATTTCAGCTCAGGTCATGATTTCAGGGTCATGAGATCGAGCCCTCTGTTGGGCTCTGCTCTAGGCGTGGAGCCTGCTTAAGAGTCTCTCTCAGGGTGCCTGGGTGGTTCGGTCAGTTAAGCATCTGCCTTTAGCTCAGGTCATGATCCCAGAGTCCTGGGATCAAGCCCTGTGTCGGGCTCCCTGCTCAGGGGGTAGTCTGTTTCTCCCTCCGCTTACATACACTCTCTCTTTCTCTCTCTCAAATAAATAAAATCTTTTTTTTTTTTTAAGATTTTCTTTCTCTCTTGCTCTCGCTCTCAAAAAAAAAAATAAAAAATTTATTGCCGTTCTTGGGGCACCCAGCTGGCCCAGTCAGTGGAGCATGTGACTCTTGATCTCAGGGTTGTGAGTTTGAGCCCCATGTTGGGTATAGAGATTACTTAAAATCTTTTTTAAAAATCGAAAAAATAAAAAAATAAATTATTGCCATTCTTGCAGAATTTATAGAGATATTGATTCACTGTGTTGTACACCTGAAACTAATGTAACATCTTGTGTCAACTAAAAAAATTTTCTTTTAATTAAAAACAATTTACATTCTTTTAAGTAATTTAAATATCATGTTTGCATAATATTGAGAAGTACCTTTTATCATATGCTTTAGATTTCTAAGTAATGCTTATTTATAGTTTGTGTTTAATAAGAAATTAAATCTGCTCTGAGGAATACAACGGAAAAAGGAAATTAAAAGAATCACAGGATATGATTTTAGAGTTGATAAGTAGGAAATAGTGGCAGGGAATGTGTTAACAAGTCTAGAAGTTTAATTGTGAGGAAATTACTGTGTGCAACTAGTCAGATGTCAAAAATTAGTTTGTGTGATAATCTACTTTGCACATAAGGTGTTTTGTTTTTTAGGAGGCCCGTAGGAATACTCTAATAAAAGATACCATGAGGGAGCAGTGCATTCCAAACTTGGTGGAGTCATGGTACCAAATTTTACAAAATTACCAGTATACTAATTCAGAAGTGACATGTCAGTGCCTTGAAGTAGTTGGGGCTTATGTCTCTTGGATAGACTTATCCCTTATAGCCAATGATAGGTAAGTATACCTATACTTTAAAGATAGAAACCTACAAAATACAGTATATAAAACTCATGAGTTTGAAAACATTGTAATAATTTTTTCCTCCTATTGCCAGGTTTATAAATATGCTGCTAGGTCATATGTCAATAGAAGTTCTGCGGGAAGAAGCATGTGACTGTTTATTTGAAATTGTAAATAAAGGAATGGATCCTGTTGATAAAATGAAACTAGTAGAGTCTTTGTGTCAAGTGTTACAGTCTGCTGGGTTTTTCAGCATTGACCAGGTCAGTAAATTTATGTATGAAGTAGAACAAAGTAGGACAGGTACTAATTTAAATATGCTTTCTTTTTCTTTCTCTTTTCTGTTTTCTGTTTTTTTTTTTTTTTAGTATGGTAAACTCTCCTTGACTATAAGGAAACATTGTATCCAGAAAGCCATGATGTTATCTGTAGCAGTGGCCTGGACAGTAGATTATACCCGTTCTTAAATTGAAGGTCTAGGGTAGTACCTGCGGATGTGCATTTCTAACGAACTTCGAGTTGATGCTCATACTACTGGTCTGTACTTTCAGTGGCAAGGAACTGTACTATATACATGGCAGTGCATTTTGATCAAAACTAGATTTAGTTATAAATGTTACATTTTCACCGTACTTTTGAATTGTTACTCATTTGAGCTGTTGGAGTTTAGCCCCAACAGAGTGAAGACTCTGAGTGTGGGAAGTAATTTAGAAACAGAATTTGAAGATTTTTATTTTACCTGTGACAGTGATAAAAAAATTACTAAGAAATATTTGTTTTGCTGTTCTGTGAGTAATACAGCTCTAGGATTGTCCTTGCTGACAGAAGAATAGTAGCGTTTTCTTACGTTGCTAATAATTGTCTCATTTAGTCTGTGGTAAAAGACCTAAAATGACGAAGGTAACATCTCTTTCTATAGGAGAACATCATAAGGGTAATTGATGAAAACAATCTGAAGTTTGAGTTCTGACTCTTAACACTGGTATGACCTTAGGCAGGTAGTTGTAACAGCAGTTCTATCTCTTGCAGCATAGTTAAGGCTCAAATTGTTATAAATTGTTACACATACTGTATTATGACATTAACTATTACAGCATATTTACTAACTTGAGCAGTTTAGAAGGAAGGTTTTGAAACCACAGATCTCTTTTTTTAAGCTTTTATAAACTTGGCAATATCTACAGGTCTATAACCATTAAAAAGAGTTGCTTGGAAGAGTACAAGTGGTTGATAATAGAGTTTAAATTCCAGAATTTTTCAGTCAAGATGGTAGAATGGGTAAATGTCTGTTAGTTTATAATTGGCACTTGATTCATACTAAAGTTTAGAGTTTTTCTTCTTACTCTTATGTGGGTGGGTTTTTTTGTTTGTTGTTTTTTATGTGGGTGGTTTTAAATTGAGGTCTCTTGATTGCTTAATAGGAAGAAGATGTTGACTTTCTAGCCAGATTTTCTAAGCTGGTAAATGGAATGGGACAGTCATTGATAGTTAGTTGGACTAAATTAATTAAGAATGGGGATATCAAGAATGCTCAAGAGGCACTACAAGCTATTGAAACAAAAGTGGCGCTGATGCTGCAGCTACTAATTCATGAGGATGATGACATCTCTTCTAACATTATTGGATTCTGTTACGATTATCTTCATATTTTGAAACAGGTAAGTCCTTGTTTTAATCTTTTTGCCCAGTAGATAATAGACAAGCCATAGAGAATTGGAAAATACAGGAAAAATGAAAAGAAGAAAATACCCCTAATTCTATTAGCTAACAAAATTTCCCCCACCCCCAACTCAACTTCTTAGCCAGAAAATGGGAATAGCCAGGTTCTAAAATTCACTAGACTTTAACAAGCTTCGAATTAGCTACAGGTTTAGGTTATTTTTTCATTTTGAATCTGTTTTTGTTTTTATTTATTTTTTCTTTCCTTTTCCTTTTTTATTAAGTAGGCTCCACACCCAGCGTGGAGCCCAGTGCAGGCCAAGGCTCACGACCCAGAGATCAAGACCTGAGCTGAGATCAAGAGTTGGACACTTACCGACTGAGCCACCCAGGCGCCCCTGTGTTTGTTTTAAGTATAGTAGAAATTTTGTTAAACATTGTTCATTATGGGTGCCTGGGTGGCTCAGTTGGTTAAGCGACTGCCTTCGGCTCAGGTCATGATCCTGGAGTCCCAGGATCGAGTCCCACATCGGGCTCCCTGCTCAGCAGGGGGTCTGCTTCTCCCTCTGCCCTCTTCCCTCTCGTGCTCTCTGTCTCTCATTCTCTCTCTCTCAAATAAATAAATAAAATC